AATGTTTATTTGATGTCTATGTACAAGGTTACCATGTATAACAATACACTCACAAAACAGGTAGATCCAATACAATCTTACAACACATCATTACACATCATTATTAGTTGGGTATATGGCGAGAAACATTCAGAAATCCGAGAACGAAGTGCGCGCCCGTCAGATGTTCTTTTTGTTCCCCACCCACGCTCCGCCCCTAAAAAAGAAATTAAAAAAAAAATATGCATCGCCAGTTACGTAATATTCTATAAGCATGGTATAAAGATAATATACAGTATATGCCTTGTTTACCGACCTGTTTTTCGCCCATTGACACAAAATTTCCTAACTGTACATGCAAATAAAGATTGCGTGAGTTCAGTGCGTTAATTCCACTTAAATTGTGAGAGTTTCGTGAGTAACTTCTGGCCTTCCTGACTGCAAGTTCCGTTAGATTCCCTCTCCGCTTCTAGGTTCTTTTGTAATTGTCTCTGTAGCTGAATGCTATGTTCTTTCGTTTCATATTTCAGTTTGTCGATCTCAGTTTGCAGTTTTTCATTCTCGTGCAAAAGCTGAGAGATACTCGTCGTGATTTGAAGAAGTCCGGAGCAACGCAAAACAGTTGCTGTTCTCCTGAATCTGTCCGTGGATGCCTCGAGTCCAGAACCGTGTTTCTTCTTGTGTGATTTTGCGTGACGATGTTTGCGGTGGCGACGAGGAATTTCACGGGTTATTTTAGATTCATTCCCTCCCAGTTTTACCTCAGAACTCTTCACCGGCGATGAACTCCTCGATGATTCATCTGAAGAGGAAGGCTTGTGAACGCAGCCGTTCGTGGCAAAATTGCCAGACTTCAGCAACCATTCACTAGTTTTCGATGTACCGTCGGGAGTGCTAGCTTTGAGAACTTCGCAATCGCACATCTTGCCTCAAATAATCAGTTATCTTCGATCGAATGCACTTTAAAGTCTCGCTAAAAACGAGAAATAAACAAACAGTGCCTGAGCAGAACATACACCGTTACATAATGCGATCGCGGCTTGGACTAGCCTCTTTCACCTGTTTCACGTGTACGGTACGCGTGAGTGTTTTCGACTCGAAACTCACGTGCGGCAAAAACGTGACCCGCAGTAACTCCTCCCCATGCTCATCTCGGGCGGGCAGTTTCGAGGAAAGGCAGAAGTGGTTGGCGCGTAAAATCTCCAAAAGATTTTGAGATTACTGCAAGGCTGATTTCTTCAAAGTGTTTTCTCACGTTATTTCGGCTGATATTTTCATTTAAAAATGTGGTTACACGACCTTTCGGGTTAAATAAAAAAACAAAATAAATTGCATAATAAGCCGCAGATTTAAAGATATCTTTTGGTCATGGTGAGATTGGACAAAGATAGCTAGTGAGAACATGATAAAGGAGAAAGATTCCTTTAAAATATCGAGCTGTGTACAAACTGTAACACCACATCTGCTCACTCCTAGCGGTTCAAGTCACTATATTTTAGGCCTTGCTTCTGATGTACTGACTGAAATTGATTTCAAACGTTTGAAGGAAAACTC